TAAAGGATATTAGTTAGGCTAGTTGAGTTTTGCTAAACATTTTTCCCACTCCACTCCACAGGGCCATTACTACCTGTGTAACAGGATCTCCAGATCAGATCACATTTTTTTTTTTTTCCTGAGCACCTTTGGAATTAAGACTGGGATTCATCCCTGAAATTTTATTCACACAAAATGAAACATAACATAAATATCCTCCAGGATACTTTCAGCCAAATAATTGCAGACTATGCTCCATAAATTTCTTAACCTTCATTGTCCTCTCTCCAAAACCCATTCAAATCCCACTGCTATGGCTATTTCAGAGGAATGGAGGAGAAAGAACTTCTGCTTCCATGGGGAAATGTCTTTTCCCAAGACATTCCATGATAATGGCATCTCACTGAACAATTTCGATGATTTGGAGTATGGATATGCCTTCTTGAGCAATACAGGTATGGGTAGTCCATTGTTTAGCTGAAGCTTTTAATGACTTCAAGTCTTATTATTGGAAAATCCTAGGCCAAAAAATTTTATAGTGTAGCACTCTATTTCACAGAAATGGTGATTACGATGGAATACGATGACAGTGGTTTATTGACTGAGGGCAGCAACTGGGAAATGCAACCAATTCTATAACAGAAGCAACAAAGGACCTTTCGCAAAAACTTAGAGAATTCCAATTTTTGCCCATATGCAAAACTGCAAAGTCTTGTGTGCAAGTACAAATTCTTTTTCAAAATTATTATTATTTTATTTTATGATATAGATCCATAGGCTTTGGGATTTCCCTTAACCCTAACCCCAAGTCCTCCTCCCTACACTGATTTCCCCTATATTATTATTGTAGTACAGTTCATAAACTGTCATAATTCCATCATTGCAAGCATGGACAATGCAGAGTCCAGCATCCTATTGTCAAGATAAATTTAATAGTTTTATTGGGAGTTCATCTTTGATCTGGAAATACAGATGGCATTGTATCCTCACATCTGGACATGACAGTATCCATTAAACAGTGACTATACATCCCCTTAAATGAAAAGCCACAAAAGAAAATCAACAGCAGCAAGAAAGATGGAAATTTACAACGTCATGAAGTTAAATAACATGCTACAGAATGACTAATGTGTTAGAAAGTGCAGGTTCTTAACAGAGTCCTGCAACTACTTCACTGACATCTCAGTTTTAGTTTTTGCATAACCAACTACTGTAAACCTAAAATGCTTGTCACATACTATTCACCTGCCTCTAGTCTTACACAAAAATAAAAGTTCTGTGTAATTACATGATTACTGGTTGGAAGCATAGCGCAAAGAGATGTAAAATTTTTAGCTCTGCTTGTGGTTCTAGAATCTGGTTAACGTGTGAGATGGAAGGCAGCAATGACTTAAGTAGTTGGGTTCTTGCTATATGGGAGGCTTGGATTCAGTTCCCAGTTCCTGGTTTGATCTGGGCCAGCCCCAGCTGTTAGCGACAGCTTGGGGAATGGGCCAACAGATGGGCTTCTCATTCAGTCTGTATGTCTCTCGGTTCTTTAAATAAATTAATAAAATCAGTCCATGACCAGCATAAGCTCTACAGACAAATTGGGCTGTGTTCTCAGCCAGTGTGTGGCAGGTGACTTAGCTAATTGAAGGAGTTTTCCCATGTTGAATTTATACACCTCTGTGGAAGGGGAGGTGATTCTTGGCAGCATTCCTGTCTCATACCAGTTCCCAGTACTCTGCAATGCTCAATATGTTTCAAGTCCCTTTTGGAAAACAAATCAATATGGCATTTTTTTTCTGCCAACAAGCTACAGACTGCAGTGGTTATATCTAACTTATTTGGCTTATTATTTTTTTTCCTCCCAGAATTAATATCCCAAGTGAATCAGGCCCTCAGAAAACGCTGTTAGGGTTTTATCCTCCCAATTTCCCCTCCCCACCATTTAAAGGAGCAGTCTGGAAGTTGAAGAGTGTAAGTTAAAGATGAGGCCAAAGACATCTTCAAAGATTTCCAATCATTCAAGGAGGTAGCTCAGAGACCCCCTTCTCGGAAGCATCAGCATCTACAAGCTGCCAGGGAGCACCACTGCGTAGATTAAGCTGACACAAATAACTAAGATGCATTGAAAATATTTGGAGCTCTGTTACCACATCAACACAATTTTAAATAAATGCCTTAAAAATGCTTTCAGTGGATTTATTAAAGCAAAAGCTAGATATGCAAGGCAAAAAATAAACTTTTTAAAAGAAGATATTAGAATGATACATATTTTTAGAAGATTTATTTAATTTTATTGGAAAGTCAGAGGCACAGACAGGAAGATCTTCTGTCCGCTGCTTCACTCTCCAAGTGGTCAGAGCTGAGCTGATTTGAAGCCAGAAGCCAGGAGATTCTTCTGGGTGTCCCATACTACTGCAGGAGCCCATAGGCTATTCTCATCTGCTTTTCCAGGCCACAAACAGGCAGCTGGATGGAAAGTGGGGCTGCTGGGACATGAACAGGTGCCCATATGGGATCCCCGCACATAAAAGGTAAGGACTTTAGTCAGTAGGCTACTGTGCGAGGCCCAGAATGACATTTTAAATCTCCTGATTATGGATTTTTTTCATATTATCCTAGAACAAGATAAGGCCAATGTGCTAAGACCTTCTCTTTTTGGAGTTCATGGGGTTGTTATTTGCACTGACCTCTCCAGGGTGTTCAGGTTGGACAATTTCTGCAATGGTGGCTGAAAGGCCACTTGCAAATGTTGCCTTGATACTGTTTTTTTTTTTTTAAATCTTTCCTATACAATAAAAATAGCTGCAAAATAAGATTAATAATACCTGCCAATTATTATAATACGACTTTATAAAAGATTCATTCACTTAAAAGGAAGTTACAAAGAGTGAGAGAGAGGCAGGGAAACAAGAATATTTTTGTTCTGTGAAACAACAATAGCAACCACCATTTGCTGACTACATGCTCTCACACACTAAATGCCTTGCTTCACAATCTCACATAACTGCTGGAAAGTATGTTTTGCTTAATGTGTTATTCTCATTACAGATGAGCAAGTTGAGCTTATAGGAGTGGAAGTCACTGGCCAAGGTCATATGCCTTTCTGGGTCCAGTGGCCACACAGCCTTGCTTTAAGCACTAAGTGTCCCCTTGCCCCTCCCATCTCTGGGACTCCTTCCCTATCCAGATACAAAATCATCTCATACCAAAACCAAAAAGCAACACTGGTAAGAGAATCTCAGATATCAGGGAATAAATAGGGCAAATCTCACAGGACTCTGGAGTCCTCACTGTCAGGCTCAGATTGACCTGCAGAAAGAGGCACAGGTATGCTTGGTTTTCTGTGTCTCCTGTACAAAGATGGGGACATCTCAGGGCTTGGCCTTCCCAGGATTGTTTCTTCACAGACTAAGCTTAACCACAGTGGATACTGACCAGCATTTATTTTGTTCCAGAAACTCCCTGAGATGGGACTAAGAATATCACAGGACAAAACCCTCAAGGTTGGGTGGGCATTTGATCCAGAGGTTAAGATGCTGATTGAGGACCCCAGCATTCCATATTGGACTGCTCGAGTTTGATTCACAGCTCTGCTAGCTCTGGTTACATAGGTACTACCCTGAGAGGTAGCAGGGGATGGCTCAAGTATTTGAGCTCTTGATGTCCACATCAGAGACCTGGACCGAGCTCCAGGTTTGTAGCTCCTAGTTCCTGGCCTCAGCCAGCTCAGGTCCCAGGTATCTGCAGAGTGGATCAGTAGATTGGCATATTCTGTCTCTCATGTAACAGAAAACAAGACAAATTCCTTCAAGGTTTCCGGAATGATGAAAATTCTTATTTTAACTGGGAATACATAGCATCTTCATTTGTCACCATATCCGCCTTTCCCTAATAATGTGCTTTTTATTGTGTACAAGTCATATCTCTGCTAAAACTTGTTAGAAATCAAGACCCAGAACTTTACAGTGAGTGGCTCACTGAGGTGAGGATGGGGGCAATGCTAATCTTACAATTCTGCCTACTTCCTACCTTATGGTACTCAAAGTACTCAAAGCAGAGCTCCAGCTTGATAGTGGCACAGCACTAGGAGAAAATGTTACTGCCTTGATAAGATGCCCAGCATCTCCTCAAACCCCTCTGGAACCAACCTAGGGGTGAATTATTCCCTCATGGGAGGAGCTGTGCCCTTAGAAAGACAGCTCTGATTGCTAGCCTTCACACAAGGCCACGGCAAGCAGACAGCAGTGCAGAAGTCGGAAGGAAGTTCTCTCTGGATGCTGGATCTGGTGTCACCTTGGTTTTGAACATCCAAGAATCCAGAACGGTGAGAAGGAAATCCTGCTGTTTCTATGGCACCTCATTAGAGCAGCCCAAATGGACTGTGACAGAGGGTTCTAGGAGGTCACAGATCACAAAACGCTCCGAACTATGTCTGGCACCTGAGAGCAATTAATACCTGGTTGTCAAGGATACAGTAAAGGTCTCATTAGCATGGAGATGGATCATAAAAGTTTAAAAAGAATACTTCTCTTTTGAGAATTTTAGTTTATTAATAATGTATATGGCAGGAATCTTCTATCTCTAGGAGCCAGTCAGTGGTAGAAAAGGCCCAACAAGGTGGATGTGACTGGAAAAGTGAAGTCACTCTGGGTTACTGGGAGACGTTCCCCATCCATTCTGCTCCCATCTTCCACTTCCCCAGGGGACGCAAAACGCTCTACGCCTTGTACTTGCAACCCTTGGAACAGTCATGGAGGTCACCTCTGCCTTCAGCCCATCTCCTGTTAAGGCGTCTCTGGCCTTTTAAAGAAGCACTGCAGGGCTTTGGGCATCCTGCACACCTGGCCACCAGGTAAGTACCCTTGCTGAAGAGCCTGATCCTCCCTGAAGCTTCATCAAAATCTTTAAAATAGAGCTGGCCCCTGAAAAACCAGAGTTGATTTTGTGATCAAGGAAAGAACAAAAAGACATGACCCCAATCTAGCAGAAGAAACCACAGCAGTGAACCCATATCCCATTCCATGCCTTACCTTCATACAGCCAGTCACTGAGGCCATTGTAAATGACACCCTCCTTCCCGGTGGAGACCACCCGAATGGCCTGCTTTCCGACATGTGCACAGTAGTAGATATTGTTTTCAAAGATAAATATCTATGTTGGACAGAGGAAAAAAAAAACATAGCATTAAATCTGGTCGTTCACTGACCTGCTTTATTTACCTGATATCACATAGACGGTCTCAGGATGTTAAGGAGTTCAACTATCTCTAACATCATCTACACTTAAAGATTTATCAGAAACTTCAGCTCCACAGACAGGATGATGTGTGATGAGATACTTTGAGCACATTAACATCAAACTGGAATGACTATTTCAGCAATCATGCTTTCTTGCCAATCCAGATGAATTGGGAGGGAAATCTAAATTTTATTCGATCAATATTCATTAAAATTGTGTAGTGGGCACCTGCTCTATGGCAATCACAGGGGACGATAGTGGTACACAAGGTGAAAAGTACCATCTGGTCAAAGAAGAGATTGCACAGGACACTGAGGAGAGCACCTGGAGTCTCGAAAATACATTAGAGGGTCACCTGACCCAGGGCAAGGGGCAGACAAAGCCTTCTCCATCAGCAAGTAGTTAAGACAAATGTTATTGTGATATAAGGCAAATAACACAAAATTGATGACTTTAATATGTCTCAATGGCATTAAGCAGATTTACACATGAAATAATCATTAATATCTTATGTCTCTAGAATTTTCTTATCTTCCTAAATTGAAACTTTGTCCTCATTAAATACTAACTCCATTCCCTTCCTCCAGCCACTGGCATTCACCATTCTATTTCCTGTGTCTGTAAATTTGTTTATTCTTGGGACCTTATGCATGTGATTAATAAGCACTTGTCCTTTTGTTTAGCAATTTTACCCAGCATCACATCCTCAAAGTTCATTTGTGTGACCCTCAAAGTTAATCATGTGTCAGAATTTCAAGGAAATGAGACCTGAATGTCTAGGAGTCCATAGGAGGAACTAAAAGCTGACATGTTTGCTGTGAGTGGCCCAGAAGCCACAATGGCCAAGGATCTGGAAAAATGCTCTTTTTGAATGGTCCCACTGGGGACAAGAAGAGGGGCGGGAGAGAGTGGATGAGAAGAGGCTAGGAGCCAACTCCCAGAGGGCTGGTCACCTAAGAGTTGCTGATGATGGAGGACACACAGCAAGATAGCCAAATGAACACACTCACTGACCATGAAGCTGCAGAACTTGGAGAGTTATTCTCCAGCTAGATTTGGTGATGGTGATGCCACACATTTGTGGAGTTGGGGTGCAGTGGAAGTTATTATAATTCTGATCTTTGGCATGTTGCTCACTCTCCAGGGAAAGAGTGGGGGGGGATTGGTTCAGAAGCCCATAGTTCTCAGATTTTGTTGCATGTTTGACGATTTGGGGAGATCTTAAAAATCCTTTGTTGAATCTACCAGTTCAACGCAATGTTCAGAATATCTGCTGCTGGGACCAAGCCATCAACATTTTTAAAGAAAGACACCAGGAGGATCCAACGTGTAGTCAAATTAAAGAACAAGTGGTCTCAGAACTACCTAGCATCTTATGAAGTTCCAAACCATTACCAAGCCTCCATGATATTGACATTCCCCCTAAGAATTAATCAGTTGTTTTGTGTGTGTTCTAAGATTTATCTATTTGAAACATAAAGAGGAAAGAGGACTGGCATCATGACTCAACGGGCTAATCTTCCGGCCTCAAGCATCAGCATTTCAAAAGAACGCTGGCTTATGGTCCAGCTGCTTCAGTTCTGATCCAGCTCCTTGTGGCCTGGAAAAGCAGCAGAGCATGGATCAAGACTTTGGGAGACCTGGAAGAAGCTCCTGGCTTCAGATGGGCTTAGCTCTGCCATTGCGATCATTTGGGGAGTGGACCAGTGGATGGAAGGTCTTTCTGTCTGTCTCTGCTTCTCTCTATGAATCTTCTTTTCAAATAAATAGACAGTGAAGTAAGTAAGTAAGTAAGTAAATAAATAGGATCCATTTTTTTAAAAAAAATGAAGTCCCCATCGCTGGCTCATTCTTCACATGGTCACAGTAGCCTGCTCTGGCTTGGGCTGAATGAAGTCCAGGCTTCCAGATCTCCCATGTGGGTGGCAGAGACCCAATGTTTTAGCTGTTTCTGTCTCACTGCCAGGCACATCGCTGCTCATCAGTGTGGATCAGAAACAGAGCAGCTGGGACTGGATCTGGCACTCCATGATGGGGTGTTGGTGTCGCAGGTGATGATCAGTCCTCTGCACCACAATCTGGGCTCCAACACTAATCAATTCTTTCCTGTCTCGTTTTGTACCTGCATTTACTGCCGATGGTTACTTCAGAACAGGAGACTGGTCTGACTGGCAAGCACTCAATGTCTGCAGAAAATGGGCTTTACAGACCAAGAGTAGAAAGTGAAATAGCTTTTTATTTTGACTTTTAGAGTAAAATTCTAGAAAAAGTATTGTCAGTGTCATTTAAAAGATTATTGGGAATAGGCGTTTTATGTAATAGAGGAAATAGCATAAATATTGAGTTTTTAAAATTGAAAATATCCAAAAGGCATTTTCCCCTCACCATCCTCATGGAAAGCTGGTTCTGAAAACACTAGCCTTTTCAGTTAGTAGCGTTAGTGTTCTGCTCAGGCCTCCCAGCTCTTAAAATATTCACTTCTGCCAGAGATGAGCTGGAAAACATTCAGGATCAAGTATACATCCTGATTTAATTCCAGCAGCTGTTCTGACGAGCTTGCCTTAGGGTAAGATATGATACTAATTTTCATTTCTTTTATGTGTTCTAAACCTACAATGGATTTTTGCATAAAATCAGGTGGTAGTCAATTAATATTTTGAGTAAGTAAAATTTGCTATGATAAGATATTAAATGCTTTGTCACCCTGGCTTCATTGTTAATGGAAAATAAACGAAGAATAAGCTATAAAGAAATGTGCGTTTGGCTTTGAAGATGTTTTACATTGTCCTTTCCACATTGAGGTGAAGACAATGATGATGGGAAGTATGTGTGCTGCCTGGGGTTCAGCAAGGCCAGATGGTGTAAGCCATGCAGTGCTGGTTGCTAGGCCTGGGCAAGGTTAATTGCAGGGTCAGGTGACTAATTTTCGCTTTTTACCCACTATGGCCACAACGGATGGCATGCAGGTCCACCTGAGTTTTCAATTTCTGTAGGAGCTTGGGACTTCCCCAACCACAATTACCGATGTCTGGGTAAGCCCAGCTCCCCATCTCCTCCAACCCCTCAGCTCAACCTAGCTTCAACCTTTCACACCCTCACTGGTTGCACAGTTTATATTGCACTGATTTGATGCAAAGGAATATGTTTTCCTTTAATGCATGTCAGAGGAATGTCCAAATTATTAGCATGTAATAAAACACATTTTTTTGCACACACCATTCTGTTTTGGTAAGTCTGAAATATCTTTCTGTCCCTTTCAGGACAAAGTTTAAGTTTTCGTTCTGGAGTCAAGCCCCACCCCCAATCAGGGGCTGCCTTTGTTGCCAGATCTTTCACTGCTGCAGCAGTTACCAAAGTTCCAGGACACAGAGGGAAGTGACAGCCTGGGGCTGGCTGAGCCTGCGGAATGCACATGGCCAAGCTAACTCCAGTTTTCACACAGCTCAGGGTTCTGGGAGTAGTGCTTAATGATCTACAGCAGGTGCTGGACTGTCACGTGCCTCAGATTTTTTAGCTGTTAATATAGACAAGAGTGGAACTCAATCTTGGGATGGATGTGATAAACCAATGAGATTCCAACAGATTCCAAGAACATTCCTTGGAACAGAGTAAGTCCTCAAGGGCGTGTCTGCTGCTGTCGTGGGTGTAATATCATTCTAATCACTCAGTCTGTATCAGGGAGGCCAGGCTTTCTGAGAGAGCAGACGTCTCAGATCACAAAGGACAGATGCTTTAAATTCTGATCAGGCCCAATTTATTATTAATGTTATCGCTTGTGATTTTGGTGTCAGGGCTGAGAATCCATGGCCAAATCCAAGGTCATGACTACCTATTCTATGCTTCACTGTAAGCTTTTTATAGATTTGGCTAACTTTTAGGTCTTGGATCCACTTTTAGCAAATTTGTATATGTATTGATCAGCTGTTTAAAAATGCTTTATTTATAATAATGTACCTCATTTTTATTAAAAAAAAAGATTTATTTGAAAAATAGAGAATCACATACACAGAGGGAGATGCAAGAGAAATCTTCCTTCTGCTGTTTTACTCTTCAAATGGCCTCAACAGCCAGGTACGGGCCAGGGTCAAGCCAGGAGCCTAGAATTCTCTCTGGATCTCCTATGTGGGAAACAGGGGCCCAGTATTTGGCCTCTTCTGCTTGTTTTTCCAGGCAGGGAGTTGGTCAGAAACAGAGCAGCTGACACTTGAACTGGTATCCCGTAACAGGATGTCTATATCACAAGTGGCAGCTTAACCCAGTGACCTACACTCTGGCCTCAACTCCCCTCATTCTTTGGATGGGCATTTAGGTGGTGCTTATAATGTCAGTCAGACTAGCTATATCCCATGTGCCTGCACCTGGGTTTTGAGTCTCAGCTCTCTTTCCAATTCCAACTTCCTATTCCCCCACCCTGAGGGGCAGCAAGTGATGGTTCAAGTACTTGGGACCTGCTGCTCATGTGGTGGGCTTGGGCTGAGTTCACAGCTCTTAGTCTTGTCCCAGACATGGCCAATCCTGACACTGCTGGAATCTGGAGACTGAACCTGTCTGAACCACTGTCTCTCTCACGTGAAAAGGAACAAATGAATAACCAAGCAAGTCCTATGCGCGAAGTGCTAAGATTCTTGCTTTACAAAGCTGAGAGGTTCAGTTATTGGTCAACTAATCAGTGGTGGGGCTGGGATTTGTTTCAGACAGTGTGAGGGTGTTAAATGCCTTGTACAAGCACAACAGTGAACAGGAGTGGGAGCTTGGGTTGTGATTTTGGCTGGGGTTCTAGAATCATGGCTTTATGACCAGGGCAGGTTGCTTCTTGGTGTCATGTGCTTGAAAAAAAATCAAAGATAGGAATTTTAACTGGAACTGTAGCAGTGACTACAAACACCTCTGCCAGTCACAGTACCACCTTTCAC